AATAATGCAAAATTATAAAATACGAGAAAGGGTGCTACATTTCTCAACATAACATTCACAAATCACAGTACGGTGGAAAATAAACTTCAACACAACTTCAATTATCTCATAAATAAAAATAAACTTCATTTGATCATAAAAGAGTTAATTCAACAGCTCACTGAAAAACAGAATAAGATATTTCCAACCCAGTGTTACCCTATCAGAGCGACACACGAAAAACTAAATAATACAAAAAGATTTAAAAAAATGAAGAGTGTCAACTATGTCATCCTCTAATACAAGCAACAACTAAAGCTCCTCGGTCTCTACCTGAGTATCCGCACCATAAGCGTAAAGAACAACACAGAAACAAATAGGGGCAAGAATACATTAACATATGTTAACGCTGCATAAAACAACAAGGATAATGCAATTAGTATAAATAATCAATCATACAATTCATTCATAACCATAATCATTCACAAATGCAATTATGTATACAATGTATTTATCTCCTCTACTCCAATGCAAGTGCTACCAAAATTTGGATATTCATAAGTGTGTTACTGAATCTTCCAACTTGTCATTGAACCGAAGTCTTAACTCGTCATTGGACCGAAGTCCTACTCGTCACTAAACCGAAGTCCTAACTCGTCATTGGACATAAGTCCTACCCGTCTCCAATATACATGATGCAAGAATGGTACACCAATATATGCAATACTCGTCTCAACCTCCAACTCCAATACTCGCCATTGGTTCCTCTTGAACCTAAAACTTAGCGTAAATCATCGCCAATGCAACATCATGTCAATGGTTCCACTGAACCAAAACATCTCAGTATAAACTTAATACTTTTTCTCTTCATGAGACATTCATCATAATCTCAACAAAATAATTAAAAATATATAATTTCTAATCAATACTCATCAAACGATATCAAACAACATCAAACGGTATCCTTCATGCTTAAACACTCATATCATGAATAATTTTCTCTACCCCCTTACCTCGAATTCGTGGAATAACTTGAAATTTTGCCTATGGAAACTCTTTTTCTACTCTTGCTTTTATTCTTAACTCTACTGACAAATTATTTTTAACAAACAACCCCCTCATTCTATTTCTCTTTTCTATTTAAATAACAACCCTATTTTTATTTTTATTAATTCTAATAATTCCCTCAACTTTCAATGATTCTATTCACCATTTCAATTTAATTAAAAACTTAGTTTTCTTCTCCAAAACCATAATTTCTCATTTTCTCGATTATTTTAAATAAATAAAAATTATAATAATTTTTAGTAAAAACTCAACCATCTTTAATAATACTAATAAAATAATTTAAAGCATTCTAAAATCAATTTAAAATAAAATAATCAAAATCATAGTGTTATAATAACAACCAAAGTTTGAGTAATTTTATCTGGGACACACAAGATTTTTGAGTTAACTTTGTTAAAAAATATAGTTGCAAACCTCGAGGTCTCTTTAGCCAAATTAATCTATTCGTAAACCAACATTAGTTATTTTTTGTTTTATTTGTATAACATTGAAGTATTTTTAAAATAACTAATATGGTTTGAGGAGAGTTGGCATTCTCCCCTAAACTCCTCCATACGATCTCTCTCCATTCAGATGAAAGATCAAGATTGTAAAAATGCAAGAAATGTTGAGAACATGTGTAGATCTATAATGAGAGAACGTGAGAAAAAATACAAAAATGTAAGAGATTATGAAGGAGTAAATAGATAAGAGAGAGGAAATCATTACACTTGAGTAATTTGGATTGGTAAAATCAACAAATCTATCAAACCTATGTAAACTCTTTGATTTTTGTTGAGCAAAAAAAGTTAAGAAATATTACAAATCTAAATGATATTATAGAATAGAAGGTAAATCAACATAACAATATACCTTTGAGATACTTTTATGATGATCCCTTCAGAGAATAATAATCTATTTAGGCTACTTCTAGCCCTTTCATCTGAACTTATCCAAGTATATTTATTATCTATAGGTTGAATATCAATTCATTTTATTAATTCTATGATTGGTTTAAACTATTCCATTTCAGAAAGGTTAATATTAGAATTTATACCTACCATTTCTTTAGTATTTTTTACTGAATTAAAGTCTCCTCCCACAATCCATTCCACAACACCTAATGTATTTTTCCGTTCAATAATTTAGTCCACATAAGTCTTTATAGAGCGCTTGAACTCTGACGAAGTCTCTAAAGTTGAATAGAAAGTCAATTACCCTTAATCTCTATATTGTGATGATGCCTCCAAATTGACCATTTGAATCCAATGCTACCCATTCTATTTTTATATTTTTTCACATGTTTGTCACCATCGATTTCTGCATTAATTAAACATTTGTTTCTTGAATAAATAATAAATCAGCTAGTTCTTTGGCTAGAATATGGCTTAATATTTTCCTTTTAAAAGAGATGTCGCACTCACGAATATTGATTAATGGAATTTTCATGATGATCTCTTGTAAACAAAAGACATTATTTACCCCTAAAAAAACATTTAGGTTATCTTTAAAAATTAGTCGCATAATAGGTCCAAAGACATAATTCATGGATAAACTTTAGAGCATTTGCTATATAGATTCTCAAAGATTTCAACTAGAATGTATTAAAAATAAACATAAAAAATATAGAATATAGAATTCTAATTGGAGTTAAAAAGATACTATTGACACTTCATTCTTAAGTTTTTCATATCATTATTCAACATGACACGTCATAAAAGAAATTCTAAATTTCTTTAAAATACAAACTATATTTTGTATTTAGAAATAAAATACTAGAGCAGCATAAATAAATTTGAATATATATCTTTGTTGTTTTATGAAAAATTAGCTTTGATAACATTTTACTAATGAAATAGGAGTGTGTGAGCAGAATGAATTAAAGAATTATATCCTTATATGAAAATAAAGATTGAAACAATTACTCAACATGGCCCGTTAGCTCAGTTGGTTAGAGCGTGGTGCTAATAACGCCAAGGTCGCAGGTTCGAGACCTGCACGGGCCAATTATTTTTATGTCAATTTAACGTTTTTTGTGACAAAAATGTAAAACTACGCCGTTGCCGGGGATCGAACCCGGGTCACCCGCGTGACAGGCGGGAATACTCACCACTATACTACAACGACTTATGTGTACTTTGATTTCAATCAATATATATTAATTCAAACTTTTCATTCTGTAATTAACCAATCAATACCCAAAGTATTCATTTTGTAATCAAAAAAATATAAATGATCAAATTTATTTTAGAAGATTACTGCATACATATCAAAACCATTTTTTTAGTACACCACAAATTCATTATATCTAACCTATTAAGCTCTTATGCACGGGCAGATCCACGTAGCCGACTTCGACAAACTCTATTAAATATATTGTTATATATAAGTTGTCCCAACATATACTATACATCATATATTTCATGAGTATTGCTCTTACAACTTTGTATACATAGTTTTTATCCCTGCAACTTAAAATTTCTGGATCCATAACGTGATGGTTCATAGTTATGAACAAGTAGCTAGACCATCTTGTGGTAATAAACTCCTTTCTTGATTCAATATTGTCTCCCTAACTGCCATATATAAAATTATCCATGAAGAAGAGTAGATATCCACAGAACCCCACAAATATGTAGGGTTTGGACTTGCAGGGCAAGATGTAATCAAATCCAAAACTGAAACTGGTTTAATATTTTGTGGAAAATTGAATGCTAAGTTATCAACTTTGTGTTCATAAATCTTGCCATTTTTGTCCAACTTATATTTTGAAGTGCCTTGAAATTCTCCTTTTGCTTCCCAAGGGACGCGCGGCACGCCTTTAAGGTTCCACCTAATCAATATCACATTCTTTGAAGGTTGCCACACTCTGTAAACATCGAGTGATATCTCATGAAACAAGAGTTTTCCATGAAACCTCAATGCCCAGAAGATCAATTTGTACTTTTCAATTCCAATAAATGTGTTCAAGGGGTCCAAAAATGTTATATCATCCCTAAAAAATTATCAAATTTCAATGAAAAAAGGAATGGAGATGATAAAAGTTAAAACATTAATCGTAAAATTACCTATAGATGTCATAATTGAGGTCTTTGATGAAGATCATAGGCATGTCTTCACGGAGAGTTCTAACCGCAAGTCCAAGGTTGACATAGAATTCATCTTTTGGAAGATGCTGTTGATGTTTATCTTGAATACTTGTAGGTGTGTTGACTTGTGAAGAAGAGGCTGGGGAAGTTGAAGATACAAGAAAATGAGAAGTGGGTTTTGGGTGTGAAAAGGTTTGATGAAGAGGTCTGTCTTTGGATTTAGATTGAGTGTGAAGATAAGGTTGGAGATTTGGTAAAAGAAAAGCCATAAACTTTTTAATGTTTCAATGGTTTCCAAAGATACTATTAATTAGGTTGTTAGAGAGTTGAGATTTGTAAGATGATTGTTCTGTTTTGTGTTTGAGTTTGTGTGATGAAGCAAATGAGACTCTTGTTGTTTACTTTGTTTTTTTGTGTGGCTTTGAATGTGGAAATGAGATTGGCATGATAGAAAGAAAGATTCTCATTGGTCATTGCATTTTTATTATATTCTCCCTCTCAATTAGGGACTAATTATTTTATGAAAAAATAGATAATTGAAGTCTGTTAATATCGACACGTCTGAAAAAAAGATGTGTCTATTTCCGTGTTAGACACCGACAGCGCTGAAACTTTTAATTACGTTCAGTTAGTTAATTTTTTCAAAATATTACCAATATCAACGTGTCAGTGTCTTGTCTGATGTCGATCTATAGATAGAAACACAGCCTGGTGTTTAAGAAACTAGAAAGAGGATCCTTCCTAAAGGGAATTCTGAAATGGATATTCTTAAAGATTCTTACTTCTTTTCAGGAGTCAATACAAAGAGGGAGCACATTCCTTTTTCAAGATACCTTGCATTTAAGCATCTTTTTTGTTTTGTTTCTATTATCATAACAGTTTCCTCTAATCAAATGTCATCTTCTCTGCCTCATGTCTGTAAGACTCAAACAACTCAGAAGAAAGGTATCGCTCGCCGAAACTAGGGAACACCACCTGCACCGACCAAAACGAGTCGTCTGTTATTTGAAACATCAAGTATTAATGAAACAAAGTTGAAGGTGTATTTTTAATGCCAAATAGTTTCATAACTCTTAATATATCATTCCAGAATTATTTTTGGAATTGTTGAGAGGTGCGTAAACCTACGGCGATGAGTTTGCCGGAATTTTCTGGCCTCTTTCCCAGTTTTATTGCTGCTGCGGCTGCTGCTCCAGACGATATCCCAACCTAAAATATCATTTCAACACATAAAAATGGAATAAGACAAAAACAACTTAAAAACAAGTCATAAGTTGTTTTTATAAGCTCTTTCAAATAGTCTTACAAGTGTTTATAAACTCAAATAAATCAGTTCAAACATGCCTTTAAGTAATACTTGATGATTTTAAGAAATGGAGTATAAATTTATAACCATGGCCATACCAGCAAACCTTCTTTTAGTGCTAACTGTTTAGCAGTTTCTATAGCTTCTTCACTTGTAACCGGAATAATTTCATCAAGTAGATTAACATCCAGCACATCAGGAACAAAGCCAGCACCAATTCCCTGAATCAGATGCATGCCTTTAACATAAACACGTAACACATCCGGTTAGTATATCGCCGTTCAGATGTCAATCTGAAAGTAAATACCGAATGATTGCCTAGTGAAAAAAAGACGAATAACTAATGGAATTTGAGTATGTAGTTCAACAAGCTGACTAGTTAGTATAAATGTTTCTAAAATTAAAGCATGATTGAAAAAGCATAACATTTGGTTTGCTAGATGCAATGAATTTTCTTCTCTGTAGACGAAGTGGTGATAACCACTAGAAATTCATATACACAACCCTGAGTACCAGGGTTCGAACACTGGTGATGACGTCCAACCTAGCAATGAGTTAGGATTTTCAGAAGATACCAAAAGAATTTTAGGAAGAAAATACTACGAGTTAAAGGAGTTGTAGGAGAAAATACAAACATAAGAACTATTAATAGGAGAATTTGACCTGGCTGTCCTCCACTCAATACTGCACTTTCAGCTGGTTCCACTCCATAGACCTAAATGAAAACACACAACATTAGCATCTTAAAGAAAATTCCAACTTCAAAAGAATTTAAATTATCTTCCCTCCACATATAAGCATTTCATGTGACATAAAAATGAACCTTGATTTCCGGGTTTCGCTCCTTGAGGAATTTCCCAGCACCTGTTATTGTACCACCAGTTCCTACAGCTGCAACAAGAGCAGCAACTTTCCCTCTAGAGTCTCTCCATATCTCAGGGCCGGTAGTTTCATAGTGAATCTACAAGTATGTGACAAAAGGCTTTTTATGAGGATGTTAAACCTCCGTCCTACAACAAGTGACACATTTACAAAAATAAAAACATCTTAAAACGAGTGACTTTTAATTTTCAACATAACATTAATTTTTCTTTTCAATTGGACACTGAAGTAATACTATGTGCATCGCTCCGAAGTCAATATTCTCCACTTTATAACACCAATACTTGATAAGGTTAATTCAGCAAAATTATCTTTCATTTACAAAAAAAAATTATGTGTAAAATAATCAAGTATATCACTCATTGTGAGACAAATGGAGTTACTTACAGCATTACAACACCTCAAGATGAAATTACCTTTGGGTTTGCAGGATTTTCAGCTTGACGAAACATAAAAGCAGTCGGTATCTCCTTCCCTAACTCCTCAGCTTTTTTATCACTACCACTAAATCCCTTTGCGGGATCTGTGATATGCAGCTCAGCTCCAAAAGCGCGGAGCAAAATTCTTCTCTCGAGACTCATTGAAGCTGGCATTGCTAAAACTAGCTTGTAACCTTTAAGCGCTGCAATGAAGGCCAACCCAATTCCGGTGTTCCCACTTGTACTCTCGACAAGAACAGTCTTTCATCACCATGTCCACAGCCGGCAAAAAGAAAAATCTCATTTAAGAAAATTCAACTTCGAGCATGGCATTACTAATGACTAGACATGATTGGTTTATAAGGGGAAAAAGAAGTGTCTCAAAACAAGAATTGTATTACTAACCTTCCCCGGTGTAATCAGACCCTTATCCTCAGCATCCTCGATCATACTCAATGCTATCCTGCATACCAAATTTCCAAATAACAGTTAGAAAGTCTTCATTTACCTAAGGCGGTTCAGCTCTACTAGTTAGCCTCTTCAGCTTTTCAAATAAAACTCCTATCAACATCATGAGCCGGGACGTATGCTAAAAAAAACTTCTGCGACAATACAACAATAATAACCAAGCCTTTTTCCACTAAGAGTATGTTTGTTTCTGTGTTCGAAAGGCTTTCATCACACATCCAAATGAAAGCTAAAATGTGCAGTAATCACAAGTCTACATTATTTTTAGTTCTACCATGGTTCTTATAGAAAATATTTCTGATATATTTCAAAGTTGTGTGAATAGGATATGTTTCGGGCCGCCCGCAAGGCCCATAAGACGGAAGTCCAATTACGGAGTAACAAGCTACTAAACGCGGAACATGTATACCCCTTTTCCTTCGTGTCGCAGGTAACCCCTTGCGAGAACGTCATGCTAACAGTCCAAATCAATCCAACTGCTAACCACATCCCAAGTTGTTTCGCACGTATGCAGTTATCAACCATCCCCCTATTTAAAGAGGAAAATGCGCCACTCCACCGGTATTCAAATTATTTCTCATTCAAATTCCACTTTTCACTCTCTTAATAACTTGAGGGTTGGAATGTTAACCTTGCCGGTCAGCTTCCTCTCCACCACGTCGGAAACAGCAAACCACCATAACAAACTGTGAATCCAAACTCCACTATTTCCGATCAACTCTAGTTTCAGTAAGAAACAGGATACAAACTATTCTAGCATCTTCACTTTTATGAGACTATCCAAATGTTTTTCCCTAATAATTGAATTTATGATTCTATTTCAGTGATATAGCACAGAGAAAAAAATCAAATATCAGAAAAGAAACAATAAAACCTAATTTATGATAGAGAAAAACAAAGAGTAAACTCTATTGATACCTACCTATCTTTGACACTTGAACAAGGTTCCATTGACTCCAACTTGGCAGCAATCTGAGCAACACAGCCTTCCACAACTTTGTTCAAATAAACCATGGGAGTGTTTCCAATTAACTGTAAAATCAACATGTAAGTTACTGTAACAATTATTTCCAATTGCAGAATAATCATGAACAACCAAAAGGACAAAAATTATTTCAAAGAAATCACTTCAGTGACATTGTTCTTGATTGCACACTGCATCTCCATGTTTGACATCTGGTAGAATCTCGGTAGAAATTACTTCATTATTAAACTATACAAATCCATCAACTCACTCTTTTTTTAATCTTCACTTTTGAACAATCCAACTTGATCTTATCAATTTGGACTCTTTCTGTACCAACTTGATTTTTGTAACATTTATTTATTGGAAATAATTGTTACTTATTAATTTTTATTTGTCCTTTTTATATTTTATTCCATTAATTTTTTTTTTTTATAGAATTTAATTGAAATAGATTAATAGGGTAAAAACACAATCACTTAATCATCAACCTGAAAATTTGACTTTTATTTTAAGAGTTAAATATATTTGTAGTCATTTTAAATATTTCAAATTTTATTTTTAATTTTTAAAATATTTCTTTTAAATAATGTCTTTCTAAATATTTCTTTTCACATTTTTAGTCTTTAATATTAAAAGTGTCACTAATTTATTCGCTAAGTAATAAATTGTCACTAAAATCGTCGTTAATTTTGTAGTTAAATAGTAAAAACCGTCATAATGTTGTATGATAGACCAAAAGTGTGAATGAAATTTTTTAAAAGAATCATATTTTTAAAAAAATATTTTGAAAGAATAAAAATGAAATTTAACCTGTTTAAAAGGACTAAAAATATATTTAATTATTATTTTAATAATTTATAAAGTAATACAAATGGATAATTGACTGTGGAAAATTTTTTAATATCTTTTTAATAATACTTTTAGTAGTTTATTGAAAGTTTGTTGGAGTGTTTTATAAAATTAAACACAAATCTTTCTTATACAGGTAAAAAATGGATAAGAAAAAAGAGAAATAATTTTGGATAAGATCCTTTATCTTATTGATTAGCATGTGGAGCTAATTGATAATGACCAAGCATTTTAGAAAAGAAAATTCAATATTCGCAGTTTAATCGGTAAGAGCTAATCGATAGAGGACGAGCCCATTACATAATTGGTTAGATTAAAATTTTAAATTATTAAATACACTTCTCAATCGATTAGTTTTAGTAGACTATAAATAATTTTAATATTCTTTTGAAATCTCATAATGTTTGTGAAACGGTTTGAGTGTATGTGCATTATTTTCATAAATTTGAGTTTTGTTTAATGTTGTTCTTAATATTTGACTTTCTTTGCATCAAATATATAAACCATCTTGATTTACTTTTTCATTTGGTTTAATCTTTTTTCTTCCTATGATACTTATGATAATATAAACCTTCTTGATTTACTTTTTCATTTGGTTTAATCTTTTTTTTCCTATATGATACTTATGATAATATTTTTTTCTCTTATTCAACATCAAAACTAGAGTCAAATATATAGTTACATGGTTTTCAAAGATACTATTCATTAGGTTGTTACAGAATTGAGATTTGTAAGATGATTGTTCTGTTTTGTGTTTGAGTTTGTGTGAAGAAGCAAATGAGACTCTTGTTGTTTACTTTGTTTTTTTTATGTGGTTTTGAATGTGGAAATTGTTAGAACACAAATTGGTTCTTAGTTATATCTCTATGTTTTGATGATAACATTAATGAAATTTTGTATTAAGAAATTATATACTCTAAATTTGTTCAAGTATCTTTGTTGCAGATATTAAATTTAATATTCTTCTGAAAGCAAAAATTGAATCTAAACATTGAACTACGCAAGGCTCTGAGCGTCAGAAGCATCTAATTAAAAGACTCTGAGCGCTGCCTACAGAAGACTCTGAGCGCTGTCTACAGAAGAATCTGAAGCAGAAGCTACAGAAGCATCTGAAGCGTAGACTGAAGACTTTGTATGAAGAGTTTCAGGCATTGTTATTTAGAAGACTCTAATAGTATTGTTCGCTGCAAGTACTGAGGATCTGATCTCCAAACTCTGCTCTGACCATTACTCGCGCTGAAGCACACTTGCTGCAACACTCTGATACAGCAAATTCTGAGAACATCAAGACTCTGATCACTCAAGGCTCTGATGTTGATTGCTGAGAGATAGAAACTTGTTGAAGAAGATTATTCAAAGTTATATCTGTTGGTTATGCCAAACGACTCTTTCCTCTTTTATGCTAGACACAAGAACTCAGGCAAAAAGGATTTCTCTGAACGTTCTACTTCTAGGAAAGGTCAAGTTATGTGAAGACAAAAGGCTACAGCTACTTTGTAGTACACGGTCTTCAAGCTTGCACGTCTTGGACTTCCTTGTCTATATAAGCAAGCCTTCAACAACTTTCTATAGTTGACAAAAATTGACAAATCTATTGAAAACTCTCTCAAAACTCTCATACAAATTATTATTCTTTGTTGAATAGTTTCATACGTTCTTAATCTTAAGTGTAAAATCACAGTTGTGATATAGCTTTCTTAGAAGCATTTCAAACACTTGTTTAGTTTACATTTTATTGTAAAAGTTCCTTGAAAAGACCAAGTTATGGTCAGTAGTTCTTGAGAAGACTAAGACAGTTGTTCTTAGTGGTTGAAATTGTAATCAGTTTGATTATAGTGGATTAAGTCCTTGTGGAGAAAGGCAAATCACTCTTGATAGGGTGGACTGGATTAGTTGAGTTCAACGAACCAGGATAAAAATCTTTGTGTTTTTATTGCCATAATATTTTCTAAGTTCTTATTCAACCCCCCCCCCCCTTTTCTAAGTATTTTCTCACCTTCAGTTGGCATCAGAGCTCCAGTTCTGTGTGTGTTATCACTTCACCGTGAATAGAAAAGATCCAGTTGAGAAAACTCTTAATATATTTCTTGGTTGATATTATGGCTGAAGCTTCAACATCCAACAACAACAGATATGAAGAAAGGGATAGAATCAACACAAAACCCCCCTATGTTTGATGGGAGAAGTTTGATTATTGGAAGGACAGAATAGAGAGTTTCTTCCTTGGTTATGATGCTGATCTTTGGGACTTAGTCATTAATGGTTATGTTAACCCCACTGATGGGGATGGCAAGAAAATTGATAGAAAATCTATGACTGAAGCTCAGAAGAAGGAGTTCATAAATCATCACAAAGCAAGAACAATCTTATTAAATGTTATATCTCATACTGAGTATGAGAAGATTACCAACAGAGAAACATCATTTGATTTGTTTGAGTCCTTGAAGATGACTCATGAGGGGAACTCACAAGTTAAATAGACCAAGGCTCTGGCGCTGATCCAGAAATATGAAGCCTTTAAAATGGAAGAATCTGAATCTATAGAAGCTATGTTCTCTAGATTCCAGATCCTCACAGATAGATTAAAAGTGCTAGACAAAGGTTACTCCACTGCTGATCATGTGAAGAAGATCATCAGAAGCTTTTCAATCAAATGGAGACCTATGGTCACTGCTCTGAAGCTAGCAAAGGATCTGAACAAGATCACATTGGAAGAACTGATCAGCTCTCTGAGGATCCATGAGATTGAACTTGAAGAAGACGAGCCTCAAAAGAAAGGTAAGTCAATTGCTTTAAAATCTAACAAATCTGTTAAAGCGCTGCAGGTGTTAGAAGAAAGTTCTGAAGAGTCTTCTTCTGAAGAAGAAGATGAACTGTCCCTGCTGTCCAGAAGAATCAACAAACTCTGGAAGCATAAATAGAGGAAGTTCAAGAACTTCAAGAAGCCTGAGCATAAAAAGAAAGTTCTGATGGCTACGTGGGATGATTCAGATACATATGAATCTTCATCAGAGTCAGAAGAAGAATATGCCAACATGGCACTGATGGCTGGCGTGGAAGATCAGGATGAAGGAACATCTGGATCTGAATCTGATTCTGAATCTGACTCAGAAGAGGTACTTTCTGATCTCTCTAGGGAAGAACTTATTAAGGTTTTATCAGAAGTCCTGAACAACTATAACCAGATTAAGCTCAAATGCAAGAAGCTTAAATGCAATCTTGAATCTGAGAATAGTCTATTAAAGTCAAAAGTTGCTAAGCTCAAAGAAAACAATTTGAAAATGAAAAACAATTTTGAAAAAGCTCAACAAGACTCTGAATCTGAAACTAAGTCAAAATGCAAAAATATTTTAGAAGAATATGACTACAGTTTTCAGAAGTTTCTGGCTAAAAGCATAGATAAAAGCAAGATGGCTTCAATGATCTATGGAGTTAGCAGAAACAATAGGAAAGGAATTGGATATGAATCTTCCTCTGGAAAGGATTTAAATCCAATACCTGTTGATAAACTTATCATTAAGAAGACTCCCTTATATTCTCATTTTAAGTTTGGTCATCTGAATGATATTAAACACACACGTTCTGATCAGAATGTTCCTATGTTTAAACCGAAAGTTAGTCAGAACAAACCTGTTGTGAAAAGACAGAAGTTCAGACAAACTTTTAAGGCAACTAACCCAAAAGGACCCAAAAAGATCTGGGTACCTATGGATAAGATAATACCTGTTGCAGATGTATTTAGCAGCAAAGTCAAGACGCCAATCATGGTACCTGGACTCTGCCTGCTCACGTCATATGACGGGAGAAAGATTTATGTTCCAAAGCCTGGAGCTTAAATCTGGAGGAGACGTCAAGTTTGGAGGGAATCAGAAGGGCAAGATAATTGGCTCTGGTACTATTGACAATGGTAACCTTCCCTCTATATCTAATGTTTTACTTGTAGAAGGATTAAAACATAATCTATTGTCCATAAGTCAATTAAGTGACAATGGTTATGACATAATCTTTAATCAAAAATGTTACAAGGTTGTTAGTCAGAAGGATGGCTCAATCCTATTTAATGGAAAGAGGAAGAACAACATTTACAAAATCAATCTTTCAGAACTTAAGGTTCAGAACGTAAAATGCTTTATGTCTGTTAATGATGAGCAATGGGTCTGGCACAGAAGATTGGGGCATATTAATATGAGACGTATATCTCAGATTAATAAACTCAATCTGGTCAGAGGACTTCCTAAGTTGAAGTTCAACTCAGATGCTCTTTGTGAAGCATGTCAAAAAGGAAAATTTTCAAAATCTTCTTTTAAAACAAAAAATGTTGTTTCAACTTCAAGACCATTAGAGTTACTTCACATTGATC